GGCCCGACAGGCTGGCAGATGGATAGGCAGACAGCGCGAGCGCAATAGTCTCGTTTCCTGAGGAAACCGGGCTAAAAATAGGGGCGCTTTCTCCTCTTCTTTTCATCCCCCTTCTCTTTTTTTTCCTTCTTTCTTTTTTTTTTCCCCCCCTCCCTGCTTCTCCCTTGGGTCCTCCTCAGCTTTCTCTCCGCTTCTTTCTAACGGCATAACGGTGTTGCCAGCTTTCTCTTAATTTTATTGCGAATGGCAGGGCATTAGCTGGGTTTTCCTTAAAGCCTCAGCTTCTGTTTTCAGTGTCCACTTCACCTTGATGTCGAACAGCTGAGAAGGGCCAGCAAGTTCACGAGCTGTGGAGGGGGGCCTGGCAGACAAAGGTGGATATATGATACTTATTCCCTTGGGCTTACAGTGACATTTTTCTTTTTTTCCCGAAAGAGGTCTGCCGCCTGAACGCGTTGGGTGGCAGCACTGGCTTTTGTGCCATTGCTGCCGCCCCGGTGTTTGCTGGCACCTGGCCCCAGGCACCCTTCAGCTGCCCGGTCTTTGCCTAGCTCCCTTGGTAGGTTTCGACCTGAAGATCAGCCTCACTAAAGCTGCCACCCCCGCCTGCCAGCCCCATGTCTTTGCACACATCCTTTGCAAGTGTGAACCTTGTGCCCGGCCCCTAGCTCTATTTGGGTGCATGCCCGCACGCCCGAAATGAGGCACTTAAGCAAGCCAAGCCCTGGGCGCTGTCCCGGCCGTAGCATTTAATCCCTGCAAAGCGCTGCCCGCCTCGCCACGGGCACGTGTGTGCAGGCACTGAACACTGTGCACCGACAATGGCAGGAAGTGTGCACGGTCTTCAGACTCCCTGAGCCTGATGCCCACCAGGCTCGTTCAGCATCTCCAGGGCTGCTGACCTCTGCAGGATGCTGTTGCTCGGTGGGTGGGTGCCCAGCTGCGTGGCCTCCCCTTCTTCTTGGGGCCACCACCCCAGGCTGTGTCCTGGATTCCCATGTCCTGGCACACGGAGTCCTTCTTTCTCGGTCCATTAGTTTGTTTCCACTGCCATGTCCAGTGACAGGCTACAGAGTCTAAAAGCTATATTAAAAGGCAGGTCAATACCAGCCCCTGTTTACTCCCTCCAGGGAAAATAAATGAATAATAAAAAGACAGAAGGAGGGACTTCATTAATTAGCAATGGGGAGGAGAGGTGAGACAGGGATACACATGGGAAAATAAGTAGAAAATGAGGCTGTATATCAAGTCATACATTGGAAAAGCCAGGATCCATGAGCTCCTGTCCCCGCTCTCTGCAGAACAGGAGGAGAAGGATGAATGAATCATTGCTGTCACACTCAGGGAGGCATCAGAAACCGTTTCCTTTCCATTCTCTCCCCCTCTCCTGATGCTCTTCTCTTCAGCTGTCACCTGTCTGCTCTTCTTTCATCCTACTGCTTGTTCGTCTTTCTTTCTCCTTGAGAGGCTTGCCAAAGGCCTCGATTTGGCAAGCCTGCCGGGGTTTCAGATCACTGTTTAGGATGCAAATCAAACCAGTGCATTCAGAATCACTGTCTGCATGCAGGGCAGCTTTCCAGAGCAGAACCTACATACCAGGAAAGAAATGGCCAAGTCTGGGCCCCGACCCATCCTGTTAGTCTATCCCCATTCTCTAACACTTTCCTCTATTTCCTCATTTTCTCTTCTTTTTTCCTTCCTCCTCCCTTTCCTGCCTGCTATGTCTGCTACTCCCTCTCATTCCTTCTATTTCCTTCCTCTCTTTTCTGCTTCCTTCCCCCTTCTTTTGCTTCTTCTACTAATTCCAAAATGATACCAAGATGTTGATTTCATGCTTTGTAGATCAGGGATTAAAGTGGGAGGTCATTCCTTCAGCCAGTTCCCCTATAGCACAACTGTTGGTTGCTCAGAGCAGCTCTTTAGCTACCTGTTTATCTTTCTGTCCTCATGTCCTCTGCAGTTTTGAAGGAGTGTTTATGCTGCTCTCAAAGGAAAAGAATCACCAGGTTTTCATGTCTTCTGTGAAATGACAGCAAAGCAACGCTACATTTCTAGCTCTAGCTGATGCCCTCCCTCCCTTTCCCCCAGTTCTTATATGGCTTCTGGCAGAAGTTTGGGGTTTTGTTTTGTTTTGTTTTGTTTTTGAACCCTACATCTAAAGCAGTGTCTTGTATGTCTCTGCGTCTTCATCAAGCATATCTATAACCCAGCTGGTGCTTCCTCAGGCAAAACTCCTGTTGTTTCCAAAGTGAGCAGAATGGAAATGTTTGACCTATCACTATTGATAATGTTAACACAAATGCTTCCCTCCCTCCATACGTTTTGTATCCAACATGTCTTCTCCCAGGGCAAATTCTTTGAGCCTCTTTGTGTAGATCTTTAACAAAAAGGTCCAGAACAAGGGAGCCCTCATACTGGAGCTTCTGGGCATTAATGCCAAGCAAACAGCAGACGCTAGCACTGATAACACTCATCGGTCACTATACCAGCCTGCAGCCTTGGGGTTGCTCTTTTGCTTCCAAACCGTCCCCTGGGATATTAGACTTTATTAAAAATAAATAGTTACAAATTCAGTTTTACAGCTGATGGCAGCAGGGAGAAGAACAGAGGAGGTGAAAGGAGCAAGTAGAGTGTCTGCTGTCCAGTCAGGTCGGTTGTCTGTCGTCCCGGCGGTGCTGTGCCAGTGAACAGTTTGAGTGTGTAAACACAGGGCCCCGTCTCCTCTGCCAGGCATCTTGGGAGAGAAGCAAAAAGCGTTTTTCAGAAGGACTGGGAGAACTGGGTGTGAGTGTGGGGAGCCAAGCTGCTTCTGGAAGTGACAGATGCCGAAAGCCAAGGAGAGTGCAGTGTAGGCTATGTACAGTGTCCTTGTCTCCTAGCTTGGCATTTACAGTGGAAGAATATGGATTTCAGTTCTTGATCTGTTTTATACACAAAAAGAGTCATGTGCAACAAGCAATAAACATGCAAGTAAACCCCTCCCGCAAGATCCTTCCCCACTCCCTCCAGGATCCCTAAACTCTCCTGTCCACCAGGATCCCTCAACTCTCCTATCCATCCTCATCTGGTCACTGCTTAGGTATCACTCCTCTCCTAGTGACAGTCATGACTCTTGATAGCCATGGGGCTTACCCATGTCGAAAGGGGACAGAAAGTCTGTCATTGTCTAAGCAGCAGAAGTAATTGCTGTGGCTCCCAGTCTGTCTGTGGAGGGCATGGACTCTGTCATCTCCCCAGAGGTTGGAAACCAGATGTGCTACTCTTCTGTCCCTGGTCAGGAAATGGGTCCTAGCACAAGCTGTGCACACTGGAAGGAGGGTAGTAGATCCTCACTCCCCTTCCAGGTAGCACGTCTTCATGGGAAAGGGAGTACGTCAGAGCAGCTCCAAGACTCGATGTACTCAGGGGCTGAGAGGTGGTCACGGGAAGCTTTTTTTTTTTTGAGGGGACTTATCCAGCTACGTAAGGGTGCAGAATGGAAGAGGAGATGGTGGGCAACGGGTGTGGAACAAGGAGGCAAGAGGAGCTAGATGGCCGACTCCCTGCGGTATGAAATTGTATCTAGGGGCAGAGTCGCCTGGAGCCGCTCCAAATCCAGATGGCTTCCAAAATCCATCATCTGGATGACACCTCCCTCTTCCTTTGTGCTGCCCCCTAATGCCACACCCACTTCATCATCATCTTCGTCTTCGTCTTGACTGACAAGAGCCAACTCGTTCTCGTAGCAGAAGGCACTGGGAGGTGGAGGAGAAGGTAGGATAGTCATCTTGCTTTCTTGCAGCTCCCGGGCTGAGCAGCAAGGTGTGCCAGCCACCTCGTAGGTCTTGTGAAAGCGTGAGTAATCCACCTTGTAGTGGTTCTTCTCCTCAAACACAACTGGCTCAAAACGGTGGCCCCAAAGGATTTCACTGGCAAGGTAAGAGCTTCGTGCCTGTGTGGTCATGGCTGTGGCTTCTACCATCCCCTCCAGGATAACAACGATCTCAAAGTTCTCTGTCTCCAGCTCCTCTTTCCCAATCCCATAGAGCGGGCTCTCCTCATCGATCTCATGAACAATGATAATGGGTGAGACCAAAAATATGCGGTCGAGGCCCACATCGTAGCCCACATTGAGGTCCCGCTGGTCCAGGGGGAGGTATTCCCCTTCCTCTGTCATGTAGGGCTTGATGAGCTGGGCCCGGACATGGGCTTCCACAATGTGACTCCTCCTCAGGTTGCCCACTCGCCACATGAGGCACAGTTTGCCATCCCGCACAGAAATGACCGCATGGTGACTGAAAAGGAGGGTCTGGGCCCGTTTCTTGGGCCTTGCCATCTTGGCCATGATGGTGCCAATCATGAAGGAGTCAATAACGCAGCCCACGATGGACTGGACCACAACTGCCATGATGGCCAGCGGGCACTCCTCAGTCACACAGCGGAAGCCATATCCAATTGTCGTCTGGGTTTCCACTGAGAAAAGAAAAGCCCCTAAGAAGCTGTTCACATGCATGATGCAGGGCTTGAGGAGAGAGGGGCCACCCCCCACTGCTGGTGTGTTGAGGTCACCATGGAAGAAAGCGATGCACCAGAAGAGAAAGCCAAAGAAGAGCCAGGAGACAAGGAAGGCGGCGGAGAAGATCATAAGCATGTACCGCCAGCGCGTGTCCACACAGGTGGTGAAGATGTCGGCCATGTAGCGCTGAGACTTGTTGCTCAGGTTGGCAAAATAGACGTTGCACTGGCCGTTCTTCTTCACAAAGCGGTTGCGGTGCTTCCGTCGGGGGGCATGGCCCTTCCCGTTCCGGCTGTGTCCGTTCATGCTGCCCAGCGCAGAGACCTTGTGTCCATCCTCTTCAGTGGAGACAATGCTATACCTGGAAAAGAAGAAACAGACATTTCAAGTTGAAGTATATAAAGAACAACAACAACACCTGAGACAGCGAGGGCAGGAGAAACATGGATGGCTGACAGAGCAGGGTTCTGCTATGACACTGCGGTGAGGAAATTCATGACAGCACATTTCCTTGGTTGTTTCACGAGGATGCTGCATTGACCACATTGGTGGAACCCAGCTGCAGTATTTGTCGTGTTGCTACCAGGAGGTTAAATCTAATCTTAAGTCCTGACAGGGCAGCAAAGTAAGAGAAACTTGCAGCACAGTGCTACCTTCTGGCCTTTGATCTAAGGAAGGACACCAAGGCTTTGAATCGTGACTGCAAGTGGGACAACTAAGAAGCCTGAGAGCAAGTGCCTGGGGTCTAGTAACATTCTGGCCCTGAGATTATATAAGGCTGGGAGTTTCTATTTTCTCCTCTGCTCTCCCCACTTATTTCATTGTGTGTCTGTGACAATGTTTATACACTTTTTGCATTCAGGACAATTCTGTTGCTACAGCAACGAGTGTGGCTCCCAGCATCCCGCATCCACAGCTAAAGGTGTAATTTGGACATCAACAGCCAAAGTGCTGGGAGCAACTCCCCCCTTTCTGGGAGCTGGTTGCCCCTCCTGCTCCCCTCCCCTGCAGACGGCACCATCCCTTTCCCTCTCCCCCGCCAGGAGAAAGCAGCTCTCGAGAGCTCACACACAGCTTGATCTAAAATCACAGATATTCCTAAAAGACGTGGTCACAGAAGATGCTCTGACCACGGAGGAAATCAAGTGGCTGCCTCCCAAGCGCAGGGACCCACCAAAATGACTCTCCTCTCCTGACCACCAAGTTGTGGTCTCCCAGGACCCCTTGGGCTGGCAACACTTCCCCTACTCCCAAGCCCCCCACCATTGTTGGCATGTCAGCTGAAGTCCTCCAACATGGGCTCCCTCACCCTGGAGCCAGCTACTCCTTGCTTAAATGCGACAGTTTCTTCAGGGCAACTTAACAGCTCCAAAATCATCCACCTTTCTCTTTTCGTTGAAAAAGGAAGTAGGGGGAACATACACAGCTGAAATTGTGTCTTCTGGTAAAATGAGGCTTCCGCAGTGCTGCTGAAATCCATGATTTCTTGGCCAGGGTTGGTGTCTGGCACCATGTCCACCCTTTTCTTTTCCTCCTCTATAGCAGCTGACCCTGCTGAGACCCAAGAGTTCCCCACACATATGGCATCTTTCAGATTGGAGCAGGAGAAAGGAGCCTTAGCTTGGGGCCGAAAAGCCCCGGCAGGTAATTTGAGAGGAATGTAACGTGAGACAGGCCACAGATTGGAGGGATCAGACAAGGAGGCCCAGGCCAACAGGGACAGCAACAGTCCTTGAGATGAAGATTACTCACCGGTTGACTCGGACGCTGCCCATGGCTTGCTTTATCATCAGGTGTCAGGGGGCGGTGGGAGCTGGGTGAGCGTGGGATCTCATGCAGCAGCACTCACATGGGACAAGGCGAATCTAGGTTTCACCTCTGGTGAGCTGAGGCCTGTGCTGTCATTGCGATTGCTCCTGGGCATGTGCCTTACAAAGAAGTACAAAGGAAAACCCTGTCAAAGCCTCCCCCAAAAGGATCCGTCCCAGGCCAGGAGTGGAGGGCACACAACTCCCAGCCTTTTATTTTCCACTGGGGAGGGACCTGGTGGTTTCTGTGGAACACCACACTGCCGCCTAGCTCCAGCAGGTAAAGAGCTGACAGACACAGTCCTGGTTTACGCACACACCATGGCAGCCCTCAGCCCCTGCACTTTCCAGCCAGCTGAAGCCCCTTGCACCTGATCCAGGGAGAGCTGCAGGGCAGGACAGCCACCGATCTCCAGATCAAGGACGCAACAGTTGAGCAGCTTGCAAGGCCCCTGCCCTGAGCCATTATATTAATATCATAGCTTACACTAGGACAAGAGCTCAGCCAGTCTAAATACCTACACACACACACACACACACACACACACACAAGGACTACTGAAGCACAGACAAACACAGCAGCTCTCAAGGATCCCTGTCAGCCCAGCCTGACCCAGAGGAGATCTATTTCCAAGGAGCAGAAAACATCCCTCCCATTCCAAAGACGAGAATAAAAGCAATTGGTAGAGCCGCAAAGGAGAACTGATGCAAAGGAAGAGCTTAGAAGTAGCCAAGGAGAAGCCAGTTAGAGCAAACAGACCTTGCAACATGCCGTGTATACAGCAGCCAAGGAGGTGCTCCGCTGTAGAGCCCTGGGAGAGAACGTCCAGCAGATGTTATGTCCCGACTCAGTCCCTCCTGAACTGAAGAACTAGGAAACTGAAGACTCAAGAGATGACCTATCCCACCTGCCCAGGGCTGTTGGGAAAGGAAAGGCAGGGAGGGGGTGATGACTCACAGATTAGGAAGGGCTTTGTACACCTATGCTAATCCTGCACTGTATCCTTTGGATTACAGCAGCCAATGCAGAGCACAGAACGCAGACACAGCCAGCCCATTCGCTCACTCCCAGCCTCACCAACAACCAACTAGCGGTTGCCATCTCTGGGTCAAATCCAAGGTCTGGAGCTCTTTGCAAGTGGTTATGCCTGGACAGAAGAAAGGAACAGCAGGCGATACTGTCAAGAATGTAGAAGCTGGTGAGAACCATCCTTGCCTCATCATCATTGTTGCAGAACAGGGCTTCATGTGGCTATGGGTGACCACCACTTTCCCCAAATTAGAAACACAGACCGGAAGGCAACAAGTAAGGAGTTCCAGACATCCCCTCTGAAGTACAAGCACTGCTGTTGTCATGTCTAGGATGAAGTTTAACAGCAGTCTCTCCTCCAGAGACCAAGGTTACTGGCAAGGTTTGAGCCCTGTGGCAACTCAGCTGTGGTTGTTCAAACCAGGGATGCTACGGGACCGTGAGAAGGCAGCAACCCTGTAGTTCACCACTCATCAGATTCAGGTGAAGGTGAACAGCTGCCCAAAAATTCCCGTCAAGAAAAAGCACATCCAAGTGAAAACAGCCACACCGAGCTCTGCCAACATCCACCCCCCCTCACCACCCTACAGCATCCAAGTCTTTAAGAAGGGTCGGTACAGCCAGATGTGGGAAATGCTGTTGCGCAGTTGGGCAGTCTACAGGAGAATTAGGGTTGGTAAACCTAAAAATCATCAGTAATGTTGAGGGAGTTCTAGGTGATGAAGAAATGTCGCTTTGTACCCAGAGATGGCCTTGCTAGGATTAAGCTAAGACATATCCTCAGTGATTACATGGGGAGTTTGAACTGCGAGGTCCTGCCCCCATTACACTTCTTTAGCAAGTGACAAAAGGCAGGCAATTCAGGGGCACTCCTCTATGCCAGCTCTAGGCAGGAGAGGAAGGGCATCCTCTCCAACCGGTGTCATCCTTTGCCAGCCCTGATAAGTCAAATGCACCCTTAGCTAGCACTGACACTGATATGAGAGGAAAGACATCATCACAGTTCACATTTGGATATGTCACAATTTCCTAAAAGCTCCTGAACAAACCTGCCCCATCCCTTGCTGCAGGAGTGGAGGCAAAAGTTCCAAAGAGGCTTCAGATTTAAGAGCTGGATGGTGGCTGGCTCCAAAAGAAGTGGAAAGAGGGTCTAAGGAACTTCTACTCATTGTAACTGTGTGCAACAGCACCCAGATATCTGCTTCTTACCTCCCCCAGCTCACCAGGAAGGGGCAAAGGAAATAGATGAAATGCAGGTACAACAAGGGTTTTGATTGTCTCTTATACCAGCTGGTACAACTAAGCTAAGGGATGTGCACACTGTTAAAGAGTAATAAATACATCCCATGCCGGATATAATAAATCTCCTGGATCCCACAAAGGAACTCAAGTCAAACCAGTCAAAACTGTTGCATGGCCTCTTGCAAAGAGCCCCCTGCCCACTGTAGACTGGGCCTTGTAGCCCAAAGCCGAGGATATATTTAGGCAGGAAGAGAGAGAGGAAATTATAATGCTGCAGTGCCAGAACAGAGCATCAGCAGCTAAAACTACATCAGTACCTGAAATTCATATTTAATCACAAAAAAAGTATTTCTATGAAGGACAAAGGCTGCCTATTCACACACACATTCCAGCATATGAAAGCAAGTGTTTTTAGTACAGGCTATTGTGGGAGACCTGTGGTCTCAGTCCATACACTCATCCATAGGACTAGCAGAGAATTTAGTTCAAAGACCATCTTCTGCTTCAACTTCAGAAATCTTGCCTGTAGATTTAAGGAGTTCAGCAACAAAATGCAGCAGTTCTGTTCCAGACACCAGCTGTCTGATGGACGAGTTTGCACCAGTTATTATCCTGTGGAGATTCTGCAAGGCGATATCTATGTTTTGCTTCATTGACCCCAGGTCAGTAGTTTGGCCAGCTCTCAGGCTTTCATTCTCCACCTTGAAACTCTCCAGCTCTCCCTGGAGAAGAAACATCTCCCGCTTCAACTTTTCCACATTATTTTCTGCCTCCAGAGCCCTCTGGGTCATCAGCTGGAGACTCCGTTCAGTCTGCTGGACAAGGGACTCTAACCCTTGGGTTTCTCTCTCTTCTTTGACCATATTGGCTTTCAAACGCCTCTCCAGGCTCCTCACCATGCGTGCTTGGCTTTCTGAGAAGCTCTGCATGCTCCTGATCTTCCACCTGAGCATGCAGTTCTCCTCCCTGAGCTCTTCGTAGGTCAGCTGCAGGGAAGGGAACTCCCTGTCCCCGATGGACTCTTCATGGAGCGCATGGGGGTCTGCTCCCCTCGTGTGTTCGGGGTATGCAAGATAAGGGTCACTGGCGTGGACCCATGGGGCAAATGCTTCCACCTCCAAGTGCTTGCCTGGGTTATGTTGGAAAGAGTCATAGGAGCTGGATGGTGCCATGTTGGTGACTCTGGACCCATGTGATCTTTCATGCACAGGAAGGTGATAGCTCCTGGTCCAGCTACTGTCTTCATCTTCGGACAAGCTGCCAGACATTCCCGTGTCTTTG